CACAGGGCCTTTGCACATGCTGTTGCTTCTACCAGGAACATTCTGTCCTTCCCATTCTCCACTTAGTTAAATCCTTTTATTCCTTCAGAGTGCATGTCCTCAGGAAAGATTTCCCAGCAACCCTTATCCAGGTCAGATTCGGTTGAGAATACTGGACACTAAATTTAAACAAACCTACTCAACAGCCCTGTACCTAAGCAGACCATCTTTTCCCCTCACTACTAGGGTGTGCCTTCCCTACAGGAGGAAAGCAGAACAACATATTCTCAAGAAAGAGAGCAGGACAACATATTCTCAAGAAAGAGAGGAGGGAAAGGCTAGGTGGCACTCAGCGAGCTTCTTCTTCCCCATCATATTAAATCACTCTTTCTTCCTGGGGACAAAGTAAAAGGAGCTGGGAGGCGGGGAGCTTTATGCTAATGAGTCTCCCTCCATAAGTATGGGGAAGAAGGGTTTTCCCTTAACAATGAAGGATGCAAAATTATTTCTAGTAGTGAGTCCCTCATTTCTTCACTGATTAAATAAACAGGTTAGACTAAGTAAGCTCTAAAGTCTTTTGCAGCCCCCAAATTTGTGAAACAATTCCAACTACAATATTCATGGTTTCAAATGTTGGCTATTTTGAGTTACATGGGAAGCTTCCACAGGCAGTGTTCTATTTCCTGCTTTTCGGCCCCAGTCTTCGTCACCCTGGGTCCCAGAGAACTTGCCTCTGCCCTGTTAGTCCCTTATCCAGTTAGCTGGGGTGGGAGGTGGGGGTGTGGGGGGGTGCTTCTCCATGTCTCCAATTTAGGACCACTTGGAGCAGGGGGACTGTGGGAAGCTTCACTTAAACACTCCTCCTGCTCCTTAGTCAGCTTACTTAGGGAAAAGGAGGACAAATGGGAAATGGAAGGGTTGGAAATTAAGCCCCTTGAACAACTGGAGAGTCTCTGGGAAACTGGGGGTCTCATCTCTGACTTCAGTTATCCCTGTTCTGTGTTAAACAGTACATTTTCTTGTCTTGAGAGCTCTCTAAAATGTATCCCTTGCAAATGGTAAGGAAATTGAGTGCCCTATATACATATAAATAGCATCCTTAATCATCATCAACCAAATGCACTGTGCCTTCCTTATGATGTTGCAGGACAGCAACCAGGGCCTTCCCATGGCCTTTTGGGGGATTTTCCTTGATTCTGTAAAGCCTTGAGTAATACTGGAGCTGTATAATAACACTGAGCTACTTTTGCATTTATTCTAGTCTTAGGTTTGAACATTATAATATTAGTTGTTTAAATTTTCATAGATTCCAAGGTTCAGAGGAGTTCTGGGGGAGTCATTTAAATTCATCCTCCAGTGGGTCTCTGTGTAGAGCTGCAACTTGGCTAACAAAGACAAATGGTTTTCTATATGATGTGGAAAGGTCTCCAGGGGAAGATTCTGTAACCAACCACAGTAATCACAGATTACTAACATGAGTGTGCCCCCACTTTAAGAAAACCTGACCTGTGAAGCCTAAGTGGCAGGATAATTTATTGAGATGTTAATCTGTGCTTTGTTCTTTGTAATTTGCCCCTCCTGCCCTGTCTCCCCACCTGATGGAGGTAGCCAGTTCTATTTCCCTTCTCTGGGAGGTGACAGAATTTACTTGTGCTGTGTCTCTATTGCTTTGGCAGACAGAAGCATGGAGAAACAGGGTGCATTTGCCCATGTGCTAATCCTAAAGTCAGAGCCCATCTCCTTGAGGATTGGTGGACGGAGGCATGCTCCTTGGAGAGAGCAGAAATGCCCTAGGAGACAGAGGCAGGGAGCTATAAGTTCTTAGGGAGCTCCCTCCCTAGGAGACAGAGGCAGGGAGCTATAAGTTCTTAGAAAATGGTTTTTATCTCTTTGACCTCTGTTTGATCATCTGTAAAATGAGAGGTTGATTTAATGACATTTATATACTTCCCCATTCTTGATTCTGTGGGATGATCAGTCTGTTAAGCCGTGATGCCCCGGGACCACTGTGGTGCATTTGTTTAAAGGTTTTTGGGGTAGAATGGCCACCTTCAGCAAATGAAAGAGTATATGCAATATCTGAGACATGCTTAGACTAAAAAGTTATTTGCTGTTTATCTAAAATTCACATTTAATTGGGCATCCTATATTTTATCTGGTAACCCTATGTGGGGGCACCTGTGTTTTGGGAGATGGGAGGCGGAGGGTGGAAGAAGCTGACTTCTATTCATGCCCACCAGCTGCACCCAGTGTTCAGGAAGCAGGTGTGTGTGTTTCCTTTCCCTGTGAGTGTGCCTATTTTATTTTTAAGTTCAGAAATGGACATCTTGAATGAGAACTATCCTGGTACAGTTTTCTTCAAAATCTTCAAAATGAAAACTTAATAGGAAAAAATATAAATGGGATCTACCCATTTAGTGAAGGTCGAAATTCTAAACTTTATAGAAATTAGAAACCAGACCAAAAAATCCTAAAGCAAGAAGACACCAACTGCTCAATTGATCAAAATGATAGTTCTTCCACATCACCTTTCCCAGGGAGGACATGACAGGTGTTATCGGTAGGAGTTATATTCTTCTCCTGCCCTCAAAATCTCTATGAAATAGGGAAGCAAATGGAGTTAAGGTTCCCATTGCCTTTTCTACAACATTATAAGCTTTTTAAAAATGTGCCTTTGAACTTTCTCTATTTTGGAATTGCATTTAATATCATTCTATGATTTAAGGAAATCATCTGTGAATCAAGCCAACCTTGATGACACAGGTTGGGCTGCCTATGATTTCTTGACACAACATAGGTCAGGATCTAAAAGTGAATGTGGAAAGAAACACGATTTATATTTCACCCAATTAGTGCATATATGACCTTCGTGTGAAAGTTAAGGTGGCCTTGGGTAAAAGGACTCTCTCATTGATTTATCCCATTTTTTAAAAAATAGGGATAGTCCTGCATTTTTTTTTCTTTATGTTCATTTATTTTTGACACAGAGAGAGACAGAGCATGAGCAGGGGAGGGGCAGAGAGAGAGGGAGACACAGAATCCAAAGCAGGCTCCAGGCCCTAAGCTGTCAGCACAGAGCCCGATGTGGGGCTTGAACTCACAAACCATAATCTGAGCCGAAACCAAGAGTCAGACATGTAATGGGCTGAGCCACCCAGGTGCCCCATGATTTATCCCATTTTTAATCAAAGAAAGGTTTACCAACACACACAGGATACAGTAACTCAGTCTCAAGACTGAATACTGTGAAAATTCGGAGGAAATTTAGCATTGAATATATCCTCACCCATAACAAGGAGGTATTCGTGAGTAGGTGTGGGCACAAAATTGGAAGTCTGTGTCCAGTTTTAATAATTTAGTGGAATCTGAAGCTTTGTGAGTGAAAATGAGAGGCCCTAATGCCTTCAGTGCAGCTATGTTTGCATTGAGATTAACATAGTATGATCTGCAGGACATAGTTACCCTTTAAGGGGCTGTGTGTGTGAGAGAGAGACAGAGACAGACAGACAGACAGACAGAGAACCTGAGAGACTGAATGAAAGCAACTTCCTTTATCAATGTTCAATTTTCCTCGATATCAATCTCACCTCTCTTTTCCTGCTCTACAACTAGAATTAGGTTTGCTTTGAGTCATAAGAAGTGTCAAAAAAAAAAAAAATCCCACCTATTACTCCTAACTTGTTTTGTCAAGAAATTTTGATTTGCTTGCACTCATAGGAAGGGCACAAGCAAAACATCTCAGGGCCATTCACCTGGGAAATACATAGGCATGGTCTGGATCAGGACCCTTCTAAAATGCATTTCAGAATAATTTTTTATTTTTTTCAAAAAAATTTTCAATGTTTATTTATTTTGAGAGAGAAAGAGAGAGAGAGAGAGAGTGAGTGGGGAAGGGGCAGAGACAGAGGGAGACAGAATCCGAAGCAGGCTCCAGGCTCTGAGCTATCGGCACAGAGCCTGAGGTAGGGCTCAAACTCACGAACCATGAGATCGTGACCTGAGCTGAAGTCAGACGCTTACCTGACTGAGCTATCCAGGTACCCCCAGAATGATTTAATATGCTCATGCATTTTCTGAGGGGCAAGACTGTCCTGGAGAATAGATAAAATGGCCCAACTTCAAGTAGGTAGACAACTATTTAATTTCAAAAGAATATTTTAAGGATGCTTAGCCTTGGTAATGTTCTGATGCTGTAAGCAGGGCTGGGGAGTCTAGCGTAGGGCTGCTCCCCCAAGGGGAGCAGAGGCTGGGTTGAGGGTGGAGAGAACTTATATCAGATGTGATGTTGCTTAATCAAGGTTAAGCCTTGGGCTGTTACCAAGGAGAGGAAGAGCTAGTGAATCTGACTACATAATTGTTATTTACCTCTCTCTCTCTTTCTCTCTCTCTCTCTTAAAAAAAAAAAAGATTGGGAAAGAAGGGAGGAAGGAAGGGACAAGCTTAGACTCTGTAGGTTATTTCTGAATAATGGAAATACTTTAAATTCTTGTTGTAATTAATCAAATCTATGCTCTTCCAGAGCAGAAAACTAAATGGATGCATCATTAACGGCTTACTGTAAAAGTACAATCATGCAAATTTAACATAGCCTTCTATTCATTCCAACTGAAGACTAATGATAACAGTTAACGTCTTGAACCCTCACTGTGTGCTAGATAGACACCGTGTTGAAAGCTCTGCACACATTATTTTCCTCGAACCTCAGCTGAGGAAACTGAGGCTTACAGAATCAAAGCCAATCGTCACATCTCAAAGTTTGTACATGGGGCAAGCAGGATTGGCATCTTGTCTTGAAGGTCTTACTCTAAAGTTGTGTTCATAGCCACTGTGCTATATTTCATCTCCTGCCTGCCTGCAACAGACACATCCTTGCAATCAGGAACAGGTTTTTCTTAAGGAGCCAAAGGAGAGGAGAGCCAATTTAGATGATAGGAGGAAAATTGTGGCAGAGCACACCTCTGTCACAGACAGCTCTTTGAAAATCCCAGGTGACTGAACTGAAATAAATGGAAACAATGTACTTACTGGATGCAGGGCATGGTTTACTGTTATAGCGGACAGTAGAGGGTGAGACAGCCTAATGCTGGAGCCAGCAGAAAAAAAGCTCTTGGTCACTGCATTCTTGGTCAGGGTTGTAAGAAGCTGGGGCATATTGTGGGTGTCCCTAGATTTAAATTTTGGTTGTTTGGCTTATGGGGATAACAAGAAAAATGATATGGAAATAGGGCTTTTCCAAATTTCAGAACTTTAAATGGGAACGCAGCATTTCCCTTGTAATAAAGGTTGGGTAGGGAAGAACCTTCTTCCCTTAGCTGGACTAAGACCATGCAAAGTGCTAAGTACCATGTGAACAGCCCCGAGTTTAAGTGACACAGTGGTAAGAGCCAGACAGACCTGGCTTCCCACTCCTGCTCCTGCACTCAGGGAGGCCCCTTAACCTCCCAGAGTCAGTTCCCTTACCTGTACCATGGGATTAGAATGCTTTTCTAGGTTGTCTTGAGGATCGGAGATCATGTACAATTCTACCTGGCACAGAGTGCGTGCTTGATAAGTGGTAGTTATTACTGGTCTATAGGTTTTACTGAGTGGGTGAGAGAAGGCTAAACTAAGAAAGGAAAACATTGGAAGGGCTGAAAAAGAAAAAAAGGGGGAGGGAGGAGATGATGGCATCTGGCCTGAGAGCCCTGCTGTTGCCCCTCCCTAACTCTGTCCTTTTAATGAGCCATATGCAGCTTCCGATAGATGAGATCTGGTGCCTGCAAAGACAAAACAGAGCCAAAAGGCGATGTAACATGGAATTATAGACCACATTTCCCTCTAATGAGCCAGCCTGCTCGTTAAGAATGCAGTGCCGTTTGGAGCCCATATTGGGTGCTGCGTGCAGTTGTGCGCCGGCCCCCTCCCAGCACATGCACATGGGTGGTTTGAGCACGCGAGCGTGACTGCCAATATCACGGTTGGTTAGTTCCAGCCCAACACCGGGCGGTGTGATGTATGCGGGAGGCGGTGTACTGGAGCCGGGCTGTTAAGGACAACTACGGGAGTCATGCAGCCTTCAAGTTACTTGGGAAACGGCCTCTCGTCGGACAATGATGCTCTCAAGATCTGGCTGAGTGAAGAGGCATTCTGGAAGTGAGAAGAAGAGGCACTGGCTATTCCCACAAAGGGCTTACTGCTCAGTTAGGAAGACCACCCCCCCCACACCACACGTGCACTCTACACACACCACACACACATGCAGGCCACGTACAGACCACATACGTATACGTACCATGCATCACACATGTATGCACGTACCACATGCACTAAATACATGTATACACAGGCACACCGTGCACACGCACCCAGCACACATACCCTCTGCACATACTACACACGCATACACACATCACACACACACCTATCACATACAGACTGCACACACATACACACACCATTTATAACACACATTTCCATATACCACATGCCCCACACATCACACCTACATACACACACGTACACACACCACACAAGCATGCCACACACATGGCACGTGTACACATATCCATCCATATCACTCACGTATATACACACCAATCCCATACTATAATCATGCACTACACCACACACAACACACAGCTGGACACACACTATAGACTTCCACACCACACATGTACACAAATCACCCACACCCCCTGCTTATATCACATATACCCCCACAGGTACACATATGTGCTATTCTCCATAATTACATACATACTATATAGATATAAACATGTACAGCACATAAACACAATCATGTACCACGTATCACACATGCACACCACACTCACAGTACACACTGGTACACACATACACACACCACACAAACACCCTACACATAACATACCAATGTACCCACACCACACAGAAAAACACATTCCTACACAATATACACACATAATACATACATATGCCTTAAATGTACACCACGCAGGTATAGAAATCCTCCCACACCCCACATATATCACACACATCCATATAACAAACATGAACACACACATCATCCATACCACCCATATGGTAGCACTTATGCACACACACACAACACATTTATGTACCTATATACGTATGCACCTATACATAGCATGCACAATACACACATAGAAACGCCCCCCTCCACATACACACACAACACCTACAGATACATGCCATGTACCACACACATGATCATACACAACACACACATAACACATACACCCACTATCACACACACGCATTATCTTTCACACGTCCCATAGACACACATAACAAGCACATATAGAATGTGCCTTGCTGTGTCCCCTTGCAAGACTGTGGCCCTGTGGGGACCAGGACACTAAGCCCACAGAGCTCAGAGTGGTGGGAACAGGAAGCAAAATTGAGGCAGTAAGTCATTGGGACTGGCAGACTCTGTATGATGTGGTGTGTGATACAATGAGTGATCCCATGGGTCCACTCCCTTATTTTCTTCAAAGTGAAATGGTCCTCTGTTGGATGCTATGTTGTTAGGGATTCTGAGACTATGGATCAAACATACTACAAACCCCTGGATAGTGTGCTGGTTGAGGCTCTGTGGGCAGGAAAGCCAAACTCATTTTGAGAAAGGTCTCTATCCCAGTGAAGAAGAGATGCTAATCCTTCAAAGATCGGGAGGCCCAATGTAGGTGACTTGTCACCACATGGCCCAGTGGTCTCCGTGAGGAGTGCCACATCAGGGACTCAATATTGATCTTTGCTGCTGACAGGCTGGGCATTCCAAAGGCAGCCCCATTAAGTGGAAGCCAGTCCTGCTGGGTCCATCCATGGTCTCCACCTCTGTCCTTGTGGCCATTCCTTTAATGTGTCCATTATGCCAGTTCTGAGACTGCTCATGACAAAGAATGCCTAACTAATACCAACTGGCCAAGTCATTTTGTCTATGCAGTTACTCTGTACCTTTTCTGTGAGGATGCTTTTTTAGTGTGTATTAAAGTGTGATACAACAATCTTGACACTTCATGCTCAACCCCCTATGTCCATACACATGCCTCTACCCCAGGACTCCTCACCAATCTTCCAGTTATTTCACTCCCAGGCCCTGGCTAGCCCAGGAATCTCTGTACAGTTAATCCTTGAACAACATGAGTTTGGACTATTCAGGTCTACTTACATGCAGATATTTTTTAATACAGTATAGGACTATAAATGTATTTTCTCTTCCTTATGATCTACTTAATAACACCTTCTTTTCTTTAGTTTATTGTAAGGATACAGTATAAAATACATAGAACATATAAAATATGTATTAATCAACTGTTTGTTAATTGATAAAGTTTCTGATCAATAACAGGCTATTAGAAGTTAAGTTTGGGGGGAGTCAAAAGTTATATGCAGATTTTCAATTGCACTGGGGTTTGGTGCCCCTAACCCCTGCATTGTTCAAGGGTCAACCATACATTCTCACCTCATTCTCTCTCTCACAAAATGGATGATCAGGTACAATGCTCACTGCTCTGCCCATTGGGAAGCTTTTACTTTGCTCTTGTCTTTCAAGGTTACCCTGTGAATATGGCTGTAATACAGCTGTCATTCATTTTCAGCTTGTGTCCCATATTGAGCCATGCAAGAGACAATTCTCACGAATCTCTTATTTCTGTATGTTTGCAAGGAGAGGCACTGACTACCTCTTTTCTAGATCATCTTCTCCAGGATGTTTGTATAGTGATTGGCCTTAGAAAACAGAGATAGTGTCTACCTCCAGAGCAAAGAGCAGGCATACTTATTATCCATTATAGAAGATTTGGGTTTCATAAGTTCAAAGTTTCTCTCCTATAATGGAACCTACTATATGTGCAAGTGTCACTTAGCATTCTTTACACTACCTTATAGGAATTGGAACTCAGGTAACTGCTGTAAACAAAACAAGACAAACAAAATTAACAAAAACAAAACAGAACACTGATACCCTGGCTACTGCTATTGTGCTCAGTAAGAAAGTTCTTTGAATCCTGGGCACCTGGGTGGCTCAATAGGTTAAGCGTCCGACTCAGGTCATGATCCCAGGGTTGTGGGATCAAGCCCCATGTTGGGCTCTGAACTGAGCATGGAGTCTGCTTAAGGTTCTCTCTCTCTACCCTTCCCCTGCTTATGCTCACTCTCTCTCTCTCTCTCTCTCTCAAAAAAGAAAAAAAAAAAAAAAAGGAACGTTCTTTGACCACATCTTCTGCTAGCCTCAATACGACTACGGCAGGATAACTTGTTTTTGGCAAGCTGACATACCACTCATTAGTCAAGTTTGGACTTTGTCTCTCTTCCTTCAACTGGTCATATGAGGCACTCCTTTGGCAACATGTGCAGCACTGATGCAACCACAATAGGTGACAAAGGGGCCTGGGCTCCCTGCTCATGCAACCTCCTTATGCTTCTGGTTCCACTCATTTCCATCTTACAACAAATTACTTCTGAGCCTATCTGATTTCATGACTTGGCAGTTCCAACAGAACCTAGATCACAATAGATAGTCTAGCTACATAGTCACGCAATGCCTCATGGTTTAGCTTTCCATCAGAAACATGCCCAAAAATATGCCAGGAGCTTTCTCAAAAGACTTAATTTTGCTGTACATAGCATGGCCTTTCTCTAGAATCCCAGAGACCTGCATTATTGTTTCTCACTGGGATTTGCCATTAATTCCATGCTATATATTTTCCTATCGCTGACTCTTTCAACACCATAGAGTCTGTTGAATCGTATGGTGCAAATGGTCAGGCAGGCTAGAGCTGCTGAAGAACCCATTCCTACTCAAAGCCCCATTGGAAACTGGCAGTCATCTGTGTCATCTGGTATATGGGCTGGAACAGTATTCCCAAGTATGGAAAGTGCTATCTTCAGAAGGGGCCAAAGAGACCTCTTTAGCAGGGATATCCTGGACCCCTACATACTTCACTGAGTAGCAGCTCCCTGATTCTTCATATATCACACCCTCTGCAATGTACGTATCTTCCCAAGGCCTCCAGCGTATAGCAACCTCTTGCTCATCTTGCCCAATCAACATGATGTCATCAACATAATGGATCAATGTAACATTCTGCAGAATGTCCAGATGGTCCAGATCCCCAGAGGCTATGTTGTGGCAGAGAGTGACTGAGTTAAAAAAATCCCGAGAACAGAATCGTTTTTTAGTAACCAATCAGTGGCTATGTACCGTATACCTGAAGTATATTAATCTGTTCTAGCAATGAAATCACATGTGGCACAATAGCTTTTATCAGGACTACTACTTGGCAAAGTCTGCAGTAGAAAATAATCATTCTCAAGGACCCAACTTGAGAATGGGGCCAGACTAGCAAATTAAACACAGATATATTGGGGACCACCACCCTGTATCTTTGAAGTCTTTAATGGGCACAAATATCCACTGTTACAATATGGTATTGCTTTTGATTTACTATCTTAGTTGGAGATAGGGTGGAGAGTGAGGGCAATTTCAGAGGCTTCCACTTGGCCTTCAATAGCTCATACCCATATGCCAAGGATCTGATATTTGGGTTACACCAAATGCCACGTGTATCAGTTCTGATTATATACTCAAGGACTGGAGACGTGACTACTAGGTGGATCCAACGACTACCTAGAGGACACACTGGAAGCCAAGCTTTAGCCAGGACTTACTTTATTTCCTGGCTCTGTGATCTCCAACTCTAACAGAAGGCTGCGATAACACTTCAGGTCTCTTCTCTAGGCATCAATGTCAACTCAGACCCGTGTCTGATAGCATCAAAATATTTGGGTATACTCATTTCCCCAGTGTGCATAGGCCCCTTTTGGAGAGGAGTAGGGGAATCATCATGGTATATACTTGCCATGGCATTGCAGTCTCATTTTGCCTAGGGATCTGGCCACCTCTTTAGTGAATGGGATCAGATCTGACAATCTTCTTAGGTCCAGGAAATAAAGCAAATGGTGATGATGACTTTTTATTGGAGTGCTCTCTGCTACTGCTCCTCCATTCATGCCTTCTTCCGACTGTAGGTATTAATCAGTACCCTCATTGGCTAGCTGTCATTTTACCTCCAGTCTTATGTTCAACCATTTTGATCAAGCATATTCAAAATCTAATTCCAGGGGTACCTCTC